CCCTCTAAACACTGTAAGTGTAGCCCTCTTCGTAGAGAAAAGACATGGAAATTCCACGACTGCACTTTTTTCCACTCTTGATTAGACAGCTACACTATTTTTAGGTAGGTCACCGACTCTATTTCTTTAGCATTTTTGTTCAACTATCGTTATTTAGAATAATACTATTCATCTCCACTGGAGTTGAGCTTCAGTCTATGTGGTATTGGCGCCCAATGAAATTCAATTGGTCAAAAACTATATCTAACAAATTAAGCTCATGTTTGACAACAATTATTCGGATGAAATGAAGTTTAGAATAGTGATTTCATAGGGAATATATAGTTAAAAAATAGAAAAAAATTAAGTTTACGTGCAGAATCTTTTATTTTGTGAATGTGTGGTTGAAAATAAGTACGTAGGAAAAAAAAAAAAAAAAAAAGAATTTTAGAATACAATGAAATTGATGCCACACCCACACAGTATGATATTTAATATCATTGGGACTAAATGTCCATATGAAGAGAGATTCGGCACAAGTGGAATTTTAATAATTCCACCTACGGCCACTCCTTGTACCACATTTATATTTTTCAAGCCACATCACTTTTTTACCTTTGGATGGAATGGTATTGGAGAGATGAAATTGAAATTTGTTTCAAAACTTAATTGACTAAAATCGTATTAAAAAAACTTGAGTGACTAATATAGTCATTTTGAGAAACTTGAGTGACCTCCACTCTTTTACACTGGCCTACGTGTTAAAGCATGTCTTCCTGACATTAGATGAAGTATTTATCATCATTGATTTATTTGCCAGCCGGAGAGCTTTTCTCCCATACAGCAACAATTAATTGACCGTTGGAACTTTAACATGGGTCCCATGAAGGTAGCAGTTTTTGAAATTTTAAACGTGAAATATCAAAAATGTCTATTTATCATGACAACTGAATTAAATGTTAAGGGCGAAAATGTCATTCTGCAGTAAAAGAGTCCAACATTTCGACTGCCTTGTCTGAGTCCAGGTCCCACTTAACTGTGCAAACGGTAAAAAAATGAATTTTCTGGGCAACCAAAAATGTTGAAACTTGAAGAAATAATGTATAGGAATTTCTATTTCAAGGCCCACAAAAACTTCTTTTTCCTAAGGGATAATTAAAGCAGTTACATTTTTTATTTTTATTTTTTTGTTGGGGCAAAAGGCCAACCGGGAACAAAAAGAGAAGGAGCCCTGCATTTTCCAACAAATCATTTCGATTAAAAAGGTAACTCGAGTTAACAATGATTGGACACGTGTAATAAATCGCACTATATTGAGCCTAAAGAGACATGCATCCAAGAAGGTCAAAGAGGTACTGTAGATCAAAAGAAGAAAAAATAAGAAAAGTTCATTGAGATGTTGAAGAAGATCCGTGTACCTAATGTATGGATTTTATTTATTTTTCAAATTTTTTTTTTGTTATTATTTTCCAGTCTAGAGTTTTATGATTTGTTTTGGAAGTTGCTATTTTCATCCATAATTTTTATAAAATAATAAAGTTTATGTCGCATTGAAGGTGGAGGTGATCATAGGGGTTTGTAGTTCATGAAATTTCATCTTATAATTAATCGGTCTATATAATTAATTATTAAATTGTGAAAAAGTTGATGCTATGCGTAACGATGATAAATATAGTATTTTTTATTATTATTTTGAAATTCTAATAAGGATAAATATTTAGAGTGAGCTAGATAGTTAAAAATTGTGTGGATTAACTTATTGGATTCAAAAAAGACAATATTGCAATGTGAGTTGGATGAAAATAGTAATTTTTTAAAATTTTAATAGGGATAATAATAGAGTAAGATAGATATATAATATTTGTGGATCAAAATAGCATGTCCCAATTTTAATTATACATATAAAATTGTTTATAAATAAAATCACAATAATTAAAAAAAAAATACTATAAAAGCACTTCTAAGATAAAATTCACTTTTATATTAAAAAAAAAATGCTTATTGCATAAAAAATATTACTAATAAGATAAAATTTACTTATAAAATATAAAATGTAAATATTCACTTGTATAAAAAATTAACTTTAGGTATAAAATTAACTCATTTACAAAGTTGATGTCAAAAACGTCTTTTCTGAACCTTCGAATCAATCGATAGGGGAACAATGTTATAATAAGCTTTCTTTTACCCTCTGAAATGAAGCATTATTCAAAGGCATTAGTCAACTGACTTAGGAGTTCTTTCTGAATGACTTTCTTTCCAAAGCAAGAAACCTCACTTCCAACTAGGCGCTTTCTCCTGTATCTGTAGCGAAGGAGGTTTATTTGAGCCAAGGTTGCCTTCTTTAACTNCTTTCCAAAGCAAGAAAACTCACTTTCAACTATCCACATTCTCTTGTATCTATAGCGAAACGAATCATATTGGTATGCATACTAACCTTGAAAAAGGTTTTGGAAGAATAAGATGATAGCCCATGAATAAATAATCAAGAGGGGGGTGAATTGGTTTTCAAAACTTTTTCAAAAAATTAACCTAAATTCAAGTAAGTAAAGATTCAATAGATTAATTTAAATAATAAATACAAATATAACAGTAATAAGTAAAAAGGAAAGTACATGTAAACAATATAATTGTGGAGGTTCGATCCAAAGCAATGATCTATGTCCTTCGTTACCAAACTCTCCGATATGAGCAATGCTTTTTCATTAAGTTGATTGACTTATGGTGCGATCCGAACATTTACAACGCTTTAGGTGACTTACAAATAAGGAGTATCGATCCTTATACAAGATTGAGCTTTACTGGACCTCAACACGACCCACTATTGAGCTTTCACAGGACCTCAATATGACCCACATGGTGTCTTACAACAAGGAGCATCAATCCTTATACACTGTTGATCTTAGAGAACTTCAACACGACTCACACTTTATCAAAGTGATTTTACAATTGAATACCTCTCCTGATAAATAATACAAACAAATTAAGTATTAAGAGAAGGTAACACTTCAATGAATAGTAATAAACGATAGCTCAAGTGTTAGATGAATTTTTTTGATGAATATGATAATCAAAAATTAGATTCAATCAGTCAAAGTGTTTCAATGATTTAATGAGAAGATGAAGAAGAAATAAATGCAATGTAGGTTCAAAAATCTTCTCAAAACATATCTCTCTTTTAACGAATAATTGTAATAAATTAAGTACTAAGAGAGAAATGAGAAATTTTGATGAATACGATGATTTTACAAGTTTGATTTAATCAATTAAAATTTTCAATATGAAAAAGTAAAAAAGTTTATGCAATGTAAGTGCAAAGATCTTCTTCAATGATATATCTCTCTTTTAAAATTGATATAAATAAGTTAAGCACAAAGATAAATGAAAAACTTTGATGAGAGAAATGATTTAAGAAATTTGATTCAACAATCAAAGTTTTTGTTATGAAAAAATAAATGAATTGAATGTAACAATGTAAGCTCAAAGAAATTTTTTTACAAATATATTTTACAAGAAAGCTCTCTTCTAATTGTATTATGAATGCAAAGTGAAGTGGTATTTATAACAATCAAAGCGCCAAAATTTATGACCAATGGGACGACTCAACCAGACATCCGTCATTGAACTGGACGAATGAACTAGCCGTTGTGCGTAAAAAATCAGATGGTTAAAAATTTGACCGTTGGATGAACTAGACATCCGTCTAGTCAATCGAGTGTCCACGTTGACTTTGACTTTTTTTTTGGGAAAAAAATTGGGCTTTTGAAGAAAGTTTTCAATTTATCTTTCAAGGTATGTAACATTGTAAAAATTTAAACATCAAATCGAAACACTTACCTTTTCGAAAAATAATTTTTTTATGCAAGTATCTTTATGAAATAATCTTTTCGTACATAAAACGATTTTTGAGCTTTTATCATTCATTGCTAAATATCGAAGTATTGATACATTTATATTTGAACTAAGAAATCTAGTTTTTGATATAGTTTCGAAATTTGCCTCTTAGACTTCTTGTCTTGATCTTTCTTTCATGTCGTCTCTCATGCTTTTGATCTTGATTTTCCTTGACGTTTGTCTTTTAAGCTCTCGTCTTGAATAATTTGACTTGAATACTTCACTTCCTCTTTGATCTTCATTTCGAGTCGATTTATAATGTGTTGATTTTGGTAATACTTGATTGATTTTAACATAGAACTATCATCGCTCAAAATAAATTGTTAGAAAGAATATTCTTTCAAAATATATTTTCAACCACACATCTTCAATAAAATAATATTTTCCATCACATCCAAAACTTTTCCTTATTTTTTAACAATATATTTTCCATCATATTACTATTCAAAATACATTATTTCATCAATAATATCCATCAAATAGTCCATTAATTTTGTTTGTTATAATCAAAACATTAAGGATGAAATCAACCATAGATCAACGTTAGAATCTTTGTTGACCGGAAAATAGGGGCCTCCACGTGGTTCAGGTGGTTCACTTCACTCAGGAAAGTAAGTAACCTGGTCCATCTTTATTATATTTCATATGTCTGAGGATCCGCATAGCTTTCGATTTATCATATGAGAACAAGTATAACTGTTGATTCCGACATCGTCTGGATTCTAAGTAGTACGTATGTAATTAAGATTGGTAACTTGATTCGCTATATTGCAGTGGATGATTTGATTAAAAAAATGTTACTTTGCTGTTTTTCGACAATACAAATGGAACCCCAACAATCATCAAGAGTGATGAACCAATACACAAATGAAGTTGAGCATGAATAACAAAGTCCACAAGAAGCAATATGTCCTTATTTGGAACCCTCACAATCACGCCGTTCTCTTTGTCATGCATCATCAAAGGTCCCAACATTGAAAGAGTTTGCATCAACTATGGATATAACTATTCAACAGGCGGCACAAGAAGAAGAATTTGTGGAGAAGTAGTTTTCTTGACATGTGCTGCAATGGAGAGGATGAAGGTTTGGGATTTTGGGCGAGGTTTGGGGTTGGGTAGGTTACGTGCAGTGTTTGATGTGTTGTGTTTGGTGGAGTGATTGTAGCTTTTAATTTGATTAATAATAGGAGTGAATTATTTATTGATTATCAATTTTACTTCATAAATTGTAGTGCTTTCGAAATTAAAAAAAAATGTAATGCAAAATTTGAATATTAATTTAGCCAATCTTTGAAAACCAATATTTCAACTCTTTTTTTACATATTCATTTTCAACCATATATTCACGCAATAAAATATTATGCACGTAAATCCAAAACTTTTTCCTACTTTTTAACCATATATTCTCTTAAAAATTACTAATCAAAACTTTTTTTTTTCCCATTAAGTAGTCATGCAAGGGCTTAAATTATAGTAATTGGTGTAATTTTCACAATAAACAACTCACAAATCAACAGCCCACATAAAAAAGCATCCCACAAATCAACAAGGAAAAATTTTAGCCCTTGTTTGGGGGCACATTTTAGTCTGAAAATGTAGAGAAAATTTGAATGTTGGAACAGCCCTTCCTGACATCCCAGTACATTTTTTACTATGCAAATAGTGACATAGCAGAGGTAGTGGCTGAATTTACCCTTCACCCAAACCAAATGCCAAGATTTTTCCCTTCCAAAATCAATTTGCTCTCACCTACCCACACGTAACAGTTGAGAAATAGGAAACCGAAGACGATTCTACAGACCCAGCTACCGTATTCCCGCAACTTCAGCAAGATTCAGCCGCACCTCGACGTGAGTAGATCTTAAATTGGTGAAAACTTGCTTGCAGATTGTACGACCCGAAACAGGAAGAAGAAGTCCCACACTTCGCGATTGGTACAAAAACGAAACATATGATCGAAAATAAACCGTCTTCCCCACCATAAAATTGGGCAGTCTAACTGTAGTAGCGCCGCCACCGCCACTTCAACGACTACACCAAAGGCATGGACCCATTTAATTCTCAGGTTGATTCTCCATACCTCGTCTGCTACTGCATTTCCCATGTTGTATTTTGCTTTTTCTAGCCTTTCCACAACAGGCCACAATTGGAGTAAACTCCAATTTTGCAACCACTGGGACGCAATACGTCGGGAACACAAACGGCTAACGGAATTGTTGGAATGTACCGGGGTTGAATACAACCCGTCAGAGGGTCGGATCGTAGCATTCGACGAATGGTGGACTCGAAAATTGAAAGTCAGGTTTTGTAATAACTATTTGACATTCACTTCGACATCTACATTGTGGTCAGTGCGTGAGGTTGTGGTTGTTGATTACGTCAGGTCTACTTAGTTCTCATTTGTTGGGATGTTATTATGATGTAACTCTGGTCACCTTCATAGTGGCTGAAAAATGTGTTACACGATGCACTCATGGCTAACGTTAGGGATATTGAACTTCTGAGCTTCGCATTTGAAGTAACATTTTCGTGGTTCATTACTTAGGGGCAGAATCTGATTGTAGGACCTACCTTTGTGATTAAATTTTTTTTCCATAACATCATCTTTTACATTCACCAGTCATCTAGCATGGGAATTGCATAAAATTTCTTAAATTAAAACGTCCACACATACTGACATTCCGTAGTTAAAGTACATTACGATATCCGCACCACGTTACTTTTATCAAAAGTCCTAACGTAATTACAGGAAAACAAGGACTTCAAGGACAAAGACGTGAGTGAAATCTACATCCAATATCGTCAGCTATTTGGCAATAGTTACGACGGTGACTAGTACGTGACGACGACGGTGACAAGTACACCGTCACTCCCAAAAAGTTATGTCGTACGGGCTTTAGTTTGTTCGAGGACAGTGCTATCGACGACCAAAGGGATGCAATCCCTATTGAGTAGAAGAGTACTGGTTCCAGCGATGAGGGCGAAGAACAAAAAAGTACTTCAAGCATGCACATTTCGAATGCCAGAAACGGCGAAAAGAGGAAGTCAGCGTCGAGCAGCCAAAAAGGAAAGAAGAAAAAAGTTTTTGCTTGGGAGCTGTCATATTTAATTGATCGGGCAAACAACACCTCCGAGGAAGTAGCGGCGAAGATTAACACCATCATGGTGCCGAGTAAAAATGCAAGCGTTGCCAGTGTCGAATAATTGCTTGCATCAGGAAGGCTCTAGCAACGTACGCCGTTGTACTTATTTGCTTGTATGCTTCTAGCACAGAAGCGCTACTGAGACATGCTTGGCGTCATGCATGACACGGATGAAAAGTTCGAGTGGATTGAATGGTAGTTTAGAGAGCGTAATAAGTCTCTCCATTAATTTCTGCGTCAACCAAATCTACAATACTTGTTTTATTCTTTTTTTTTCTTCTGTACTTCTTGCGGATAATTACAGTTGCTATTGTACCTTTATTGTTCGTATCTAACATTATGTTTTCTCAATCATGGGTTTAACTTACTGAGTGATCATTTGAAATGTTTAATTTATTTTTTTGGGTGCCAAATAGTGCAGGCATGATCGACAACTCCTACATACAACTTCTTTTTGGGAACCACATTCCAACAGCAAAAAAAAGTGTCACATGCCAAAAAAGTTCAAGCGTCCTATTTTTTCAAACCTTGTGGTACAATTATTTGAATTTCATTCAAACGAAACACGTGCAATGATTCTTACTCTTATATAACTTCGTTGGTTAAACACATGAATTGTGACTTTTTCGTTCGGTGTGTAGAAATCTTTGTAATATTGCAAAATTCGACGATCTTCATTTTCCTACAATGGATGATCTCAACTTCAATTGTGCGCTTTTATCGCGATCCGACGATGAATAAGAAGTCGATGATGATGAGTTTCTTAGCCAATTGGTGGAAGACGTCACGTCATGGGTTACATATTGTCAAATTGTAGTAAGCGATGCCAGGAACTACCATCTCAAATAACGACGTCGTATCCGACGATTCTCGTATTCAAGAAATGGACACGTGTTCATGAAGGAAGCAATGGAAGATAACGACAAGATATGTTATCAAGAGTTCCAAATGTATACACAACTACTTAGACACTTTGCACATATTCTGCGAGATGCATATGGCTTACGAAGTAGCCAACAAGTTGATATTTACGAGCAAGTTGGAACGTTCTTTTGCATATTAGCGCATGGAAAAGGATACCGTTAGGTGACTACTATTTTCAATCATTCATTGCAAACAGTATGCCATTATTTTAAAGAGGTAATCACTCATGTCGTCGTCTTATCGGCACATCTCATACAACTAAGACCGGACTACAACAAGTGTGAGGACCCCCACAGGCAGGACCTGATAAAGCATCATTTGTTTCAAGACTGCATTTGTGCTATTGATGGAACGCATGTGAAAGCTGTTGACGCCGGGCAGAATAGTGATTATTCTGCAGGCTAGAACGAATAGACAATAACAGAGAAGAATGCAAAAGAATAACACCAAGAAAAATGAGAA